ACAGAACCACATGATCACTAGCTCCCAGGGGTCTTTCATACATGATATCCTCGATGTCAGAACTACTCAAGGTGAATACAAGGTCCAGTCTTGCTGGTTCATCCTCTCCTCTCTCTCTGGTAGTGTCTCTAACATGTTGATGCATGAGGTTTTCCAGTACCACATCCATCATCTTGGCTCTCCATGTTTCGGGACCCCCATGGGGCTCCAGGTTTTCCCAGTCAATCTCCTTGTGATTGAAATCACCCATAACTAGTAACTTTGCTCCCCCCATGTGTGCTCTCCTGGCCACCTCGGCTAGTGTGTCGACCATTGCTCTGTTGCTCTCGTCGTATTCTTCTCTTGGCCTCCTGCAGTTATGTGGTGGGTTGTACATTACTGCAATTATCACCTTATGTCCCTCAGACTGGATTGTTCCTACTAAGTAGTCCCTTTCGCCCGTGCCATCCATTCCTTCCATTTTTTTCAAACCCCCACTGGTTTTTAATGAGCAGTGCAACTCCTCCTCCCCCTCCCCTCTCTCTGTCTTTCCTGAGGATTTGATATCCGGATGGAAAGATTGAATCTGTTATTATTCCGGTGAGTTTTGTTTCTGTGAGTGCTATTATGTCTGGGGATGTCTCCTTGATTCTTTCGTGCCACTCTTCATACTTATTTGTTATTCCATCTGCATTTGTGTACCACACCTTCAACTTCTTTTCTAAGATTGTGGTCTGGGAGGTGTATTGGGGTTGGGGAAGTGGGAGACCTGATAAGGAACTATGGGTGGTTGCTGTGGGGGTGGAGTGTGTGTGTGTTTGTGTGTGTGTGTGTCTTTCTATCTGTCTATCTGTCTATCTGTCTGTCTATCTGCGCAACTGAGCAATTCAGATTAAGCATATAAGTCTTCACCAATAATTCTCTCATATTCCCGAGTCTTCCCTAACAACCGATAATATACACTCTGAGACCTTACCTTCCTTCATTCCCTCCTTCCTGCCTTCCTTCCTTCCTTTCTACCTTCCTTCTTTCCTTTCTTCCTTCCTTCCCGCCTTCCTTCCTGCCATCTACCTTACTGCCTTCTTTCTTTCCTTACTGTTTTTTTTTCCTTCTTTCCTTCCTTTCTTCTTTCCTTCACACCTTCCTACCTTCCTCCCTTCCTACCTTCGTGCTTGCCTTCCTACCTTCCTGCCTTCCTACCTTCCTTCTTGCCTTCCTGCCTTCCTGTCTATCCTCCTTTCCAGCATTTTTATCTTTCATATATTCTGCCTCTCTCCCTTTCTGCCTTTCTGCGTCCCTGCCTTTCTGCGTCCCTGCCTTTCTGCGTCCCTGCCTTTCTGCCTCCCTGCCTTTCTGCCTCCCTGCCTTTCTGCCTCCCTGCCTTTCGCCTCCCTGCCTTTTGCCTTCCTGCCTTTCTGTGTTTTTGCAAAAGCCTTCCTGTCTTTCTGTCTTCCTGCCTTTTTTCCTTCCAACACATCTGCCCTCCTGCCTTCCTACCTGCCTTACTTCCTGCCTTCCTGTCTGCCAGCCTGCCTTCCTTTCTTCCTGCCTTCCTTCTTTCCTGCGTAGCTGCCTAACTGCCTTCCTGCCTTCTTTAATTCCTACCTTCCTTTCTTCCTGCCTATCTGTTTTCCTTCTTTTCTGATATGCTATCTTCATTCCTTCTTGCCTCTTTATCTTCCTGCTTTCTTTCCTATCTGCCTTCTTGCCTTCTTTCTTTTCTGCCTTTTTGCCTCAATGCATTCCTGCCTTTTAGCCTTTCTGCCTTCCTTCCTTCCTTCCTTCATTCCTTCCTTCCTTCCTGCCTTCCTTCCTTCCTTCCTGCCTTCCTGCCTTCCTTCTTTCCTGCCTTTCTGCCTTGTTGCCTTCATTACTTCTTGCCTTCATGCCTTTCTTCATTCCTGCATGACTTCCATCCCTGCTTCCCCTTTCTATTTTCCCTTCTTTTATTCCTTTCCTTCTTTCCTTTCCTGCTGTCTCTTCTTCCCTTCCATTCTTCCTGCTTTTCCTTCCTCCTCTCTCTACCTACTTCTCTACCCTCTTCCCTTCTTTTGCTGCCTCCCCTTTATATCTCTCCTTCCTTCCTTCCTTCCCTTTCTATCCTTCCTCCCTGCCTTCCATTTCTGCCTTCTCTTCCTGCTTTCTTTACATAACTTTCCTTCCTTCCTTCCCTTTCTGCATTCTCTTCCTGCCTTTCAGAATTTTCCGCCTTCAATTTCTGCCTTTTCTTCCTTCCCTACCTTTTCCTTCCCCTTCTATCTTTCTACTTTCCCTTCCATTTTCTCTTTGTCTTCGCGTCCACAGTTCTTTTTTCCGGGAGGAAGACAGCCATCTTTATAGAGATAATCAAGGTGATGGAGAGAGGGGAAGAGGGAGATCGGAGTAATCACGAATGAAGGGAGGGAGTGAGGGAGGTGTGGATCTAAGAGAGATGGAGGGAGAGGTGTTACACAGTGATCAAGAATGGAGTGTAGCAGTGAGTCAGGTGTTTCTGTGGCTGAGGTAAAGAGGGTTTCGGGGGTCAACACCCCCACGGCTCGGTCTGAGACCAGGACTCATGGTGGATCAGGGTCTTATCAACCAGGCTGTTACTGCTGGCCGCACGTAAACCAACGTAAGAACCACAGCTCAGCTGATCAGGTACTGACTTTAGGTGCCTGTCCAACGCCTTCTTGGAGACATGTATAACAGATCCCCCTTATGTATGCCTCCCAGCATGTATAAGGTATGCTGGGAGCAGCTGAGCAGTCTTGGTCCCCGGACACTTATTATGTTGTCTCAGTGTACTCGTGGCGCCCCTGCTTTTCATTGGGGGAATGTTGCATCTCCTTCCGAGTCTTTTCCTTTCGTAGGGAGTGATTTTCGTGTGCAGGTTTAACAGCAATCCCTCTAGGATTTCTCAAGTGTATATTATCATATATCTCTCTCGCCTGCGTTCCAGGGAATACAAATCAAGGGACTTCAACCGTTCCCGGTAATTTAGGTGCTTTATTGTACTTATGTGTGGCGTGAAAGTTCTCTGTACATTCTCCAGGTCTACAATTTCGCCTCCCTTGAAGGGGGGAGTTAGTGTACAGCAGTATTCCAGCCTATAGAGTACTAACGATTTGAAGAGAATCGTCATGGCTTGGCGTCCCTAGTTTTGAAGGATCTCATTATCCATCCCATCATTTTTTCTAGCAGATGGGGCAGATACATCGTTGTGGTCTTTGCAGGTGAGATCACTCCCAGGTCCTTCGCATTAGTTTTTCGCTCTATTATATGGTTAGAATTTGTGTACCCTGATACAGTTTTAATTTCCTCAAGCTTTCCATATCTGAGTAGTTGAAAATTTTCTCCATTGAACTTCATATTGTTTTCTGCAGCCCATTTAAAGATATGGCTGATGTCTGTCTGGAGACTTGCGGAGGACACTGTCATGGCAATTCGGGTGACATCCACAAAGGAATACACGGAGCTACGGCGGTGTTTGTGTGATAGAGGGAAGGAGTGAATCAGGTGTTTATGTGACGGAGGGTATGAGTCAAATGTTTACGTGACGGAGGGTATGAGTCAAGTGTTTACGTGACGGAGGGTATGAGTCAAGTGTTTATGTGACGGAGGGTATGAGTCAAGTGTTTACGTGACGGAGGGTATGAGTCAAGTGTTTACGTGACGGAGGGTATGAGTCAAGTGTTTACGTGACGGAGGGAAGGAGTGATGGATCTCTGGCTGTGAGGAAAGAAATTAACGTCATGTAGACAGACGTGATGCAGAGGTAATGAATACAAAAAATTGAATTAGTGTAGATGTGATGTAGACGTTATGTAGACATGATGTAGACATGATATAAACGTGACTGAAGAAATCGTAAGGACACGATTGCAAACAAACCATGCTAGTGGCGGGAATTGAACTCGTCGGTCTGAAGTTATACGTCTCCCTTACCGCGAGTTCAATCCCTACCGGTACCCTGGTTTAATATAAACGTGATATCAACTTGATGTAGACATTATGTAGACGTTAAGTAGACATAATACAACCGTGTAGCCGTGATGTAGACGTGTAGACGTTAAGTACATTACGACAAGCGGAAAGAGAAAAGAAGAGGGTGATAGTGACATTACCACTATGGCCGGTGGCCAGGTGGCTAAAGCTCTTCACACGGCGAGAGTCCTGTTTCGATTCCCGCGAGGACAGAAACATTGGGCGTGTTTCCTTACACCGGTTGTCCGTGTTCACCCATCAGTAAAGTGGGTACCTGGGTGTTAGTCGACTGGTGTGGGTCGCATCTTGGGACAAAATTGACCTAATTTGCCCGAAATGCTCAGCACAACAAGCGGCTTTCTATATATTAATATGTCGTTGACGTCAGCTAGGCCTGTATACCTTGTACATGTACTTGTAGCAATAAAGATTTATTTAATATATTATTATTATTATTATTATTATTATTTTATGACCCACCTGAAATCTTAATGACCCACCTGTTGTCTTAATGAGCCATCTAAAGACTTAATGACCCACCTGTTACCTTAATGACCCACCTGTTACCTTAATGACCCACCTATAGATTTAATGTCCCACCAGCCGATTTAGTGACCAAACTGTGGTTTTAACGACCCACCTTCAGTCTTAACGACCCACCTAGAATCTTAACGACCCACTTTTATTCATAATGATCCAAATGTTACTTTAATGCCGCACCTCGTCTCGTCATTCACGTTATTTGCCTGATTCTCGATAGTTTATGTTCATATCAAATTGTTTTTTTTCCTAATTTTCATACTATCTGCTTTAAAAGCCAGCTCCTATCACATCATATTACACAGTCACCACCACCACCACAATCCTACACAAATCTTGAGGTGAGTTTTCATGTTCAATTTATATTTCTCTGCTTGGGACGAAGCCTTTTGTTTTGGTACAACTTTTCGTCTCCCTGGAAAATTTATTTATCTGGCTCTTGATTACCTTCCTCCTTTCCCGTGGGTGAAACGTTGTACGAATGGAGGCTTCAGGCATCATCCGTGTGTTCGCAGGAGGAGGCGGTGGCCACGTCGGAGGTGCTACTGGAGACTTTCAGTGGGGAGGTTGGGAGAGCCAAGTGGCGGAGCTGCTGTCACGCTGCTGTGCAGTGCTGTGAAAACATGCTCACCGCTTCATGGCCGTCCAGTAAGTGTTGTGGCAACTCACTTAATTTTGTGCCCTCCCAGTAAGAGTTGTGGCCACTCAGCAATTGTTGCGACCTACCAGTAAGTATTGCGGTCCACAATGGTAATAAGTAACTTTGACTTTTTTGGGTTATCCTAGGTTCCCTACACATATGCTGCTTTGTATAATAATCTATGTAGCTGTATTTGCGTATACCTGAGTAAACTTACCACTAAGCGTCATGGCCTCCCAGTAATGCTGTAGTCTACCTGTAAGTTTTTGTTAGCCTCCCAATAACTGTTCCGGCCACCAATATGCGTCTGATCCATCGAAGTGTTTAAAACATTTAATTCATGTATCTTTGTAGGTGTTTATATTTTGTAACTCGTAGCAGCATAATTCAGTCGAGCAATACTTTAGTATGATAGGAAGGACCTGAACACCATTCCTGGGATCACCTCCAGAAGAAACCAATAAGTACACAGGCCATTACTCTCGCACTGCGACTGTCGTGTAACGTTCTTGTGCGCGAACACAACCCTCCTCTATACCTTTTTAAAGAGGGCTTACCCAATCTTTTGAGTAGCAGGGCTTGTTTTTTTTTTCGTTAAAAGACCAATTATTGCACCTCTCTTCTTCGCTAGCTCTTGACGAGGCTGCTGGAGCAATCACAGCCGCTTGCCTTAGTAAATTTAACCAGCGTTAAATATTTAAGTATGCAAGTATGAAAATAATTACCTACGTTTTATTTAAACTTTTGGTACATAACATACAATGTTTTTATAATGGTTTTTAACTCATATGTGCACATAAAAGTACATGTGTAGATTTAACCTTAGATAATCCAATAGTCAAACACTAACTTATTTCTGATCAGATGAGAGATTCTCCAGTTATTTCACAGAAACCAATATGATCCTTAAATTAGTTATTTGTGCAACACTTAAGTATCTTTACTGTGTAAACGTTTATAGATTTGCTTACACACTCAACTTACCGAGCACTGTCCGGTCTGTAAGATACCATTAAATACTGAAGCCATTCAGAAGAGGATTACGTAAAAAATTCTAACGTGATTAAATGGGCAAGAAAATTTCAGTCTTTTTACACATGAAATTGTCAGATATGCGCTGTCATCGAGTGACGAGACGCTAATACTGAATGTTGGAAGCTGTGCCGTTGAGTCTTTACAAGTTGTCGCAGCAGTTCAAGATGGGAATGGATCCTACAGCTTTGATAATTGTTTCTATAACCTTGTTCTACATACTGAACATCAGCGTTGAAAAACTGAAGCCGATGAGATGAGGCGTCATCGTGTTACGAGCAAAATAAAAACAAAAATAAGTGGAAATAAAAGAGAAAATGGTGATCACTTAATAGCGCTCCTCAGGGAAACCTAAATATTGTATTAATATTGATAGAATTACCGACAATATGTAAAGTAAAAGGACACAGGTGCAACTAATGTGACATTTTATTGAGGCAACGTTTCGCTCTCCAGGAGCATGATAGCTCCTGGAGAGCGAAACGTTGCCACAAGAAAATATGTCACATTAGTTGCACTTGTGTCCTTTTACTTTAAAACCTAAATATGTCTTGAATGTGCACTTATAAGTGTCTCCAGTAACATCAACATCTTACCTGATGATTATCTCACTTGTTTTTCCACTTAATCCCTACTCACCACTTAATTAGGTCTCCCTCCCACTGTGTAGGCAGTAGACTCCGTATTACTGCATATGTTATATCTGTTTTCCAACGTGAGTGAATCATTGTTTTCTTAACATCAACTGTCAGCATTTTAAACTCTCACTATTTTTTTCTTATGTCTTAAATATGACTGTCAACCTATCATAGGCAGCTGACTTCCTACGTAGTGTTACAGGTTGATGGTATATAGCTATAATATGCTAATAAGGTATGCTAATAAGAGATTCATGACGACAGGTAGCTGTCCGAACACCTGGGATGGATGGCAGTGCTGGCCAGCTACTCTCCCAAACACGGAGATCAATAAACCTTGTCCTTCCTACATCTACCATGGCAAGGGACCTTCCTGTGCCAGTAAGTTTGATTTTTCTGTGTATACTTACCTGCAACAGCGAGTCACTCACTCTCTCTCTCTCTCTCTCTCTCTCTCTCTCTCGCTTTACCATCCCAATCCCTCACTACACTCCATCACCACTCTCCCATTTCCCCTTCCTCATCATTCTCACTCGCCATCTTTCCTCTCTATTCCCCTTCATTATTTTCCCTCACTAAGTACCTCACAACCTTATCTTATCACTATCTCTCACCATCCTTCCTCAGGATCTTCCCTCACCAAACTTCCTCAGCACTCTCACACTATCCCCTCTCATCACCTTAACTTACTACTTTCCCCTCACCTCCCTGTACCACCACTCTCTCACCACCCTCTTTCGCTATCAACCATCACTTCCCTTTCACCACCCTCTCTCACCAATCATCCTCAGTACTCTCCTTCACTAACCATCCTCTCTCACAGTAGTCCCATCAGCACCCTCCCTTACCTCAGTCTTTCATAACCCTCCCTGACCAACCCCTCTCATCACTCTCACTTATCTCCCTCACCACTCTCACTCTCCCTCACCACTCTCACTCTCCCTCACCACTCTCACTCTCCCTCACCACTCACTTACCACCTCCATTCACCACGCCTCTTTACTTCGTCGCACATATAAAGGTATTTCTTACTGTGAGCAACATATCCACGGATATTTTTGACAGTAACTTTTACATTAAAACTGCATTATAAACGTTCTCATGACATTAACTGACTTCATTTTTTGATATATCTTTATTTACTACATGATATACAAGTCTAGCTGACATCAGTGACTTATTACTATATAGAAAGCCGCTTGTTATGCAGAGCATTTCGGGCAAATTAGGTCAGTGTCCCAGGATGCGACCCACACCAGTCCACTAACACCCAGGTACCTATTTTACTGATGGGTGAACATAGACAACAGGTGTAAAGAAACACGCCCAATGCTTCTAACTTGGCTGGGAATCGAATCCAGATTCTCGCCGTGTGAAGCGAGAGCTTTAGCCACTAGAGCCTCGTAAATGCAAAAGAGACGTCACTTATTCTAAATATAGAAGTATCCCAAGGCTCTCTCACCTTCTTGTATTAGTTTGACTTATAAATGGTCGAAGACGGACCGAAAAATCATCAAAATCGTCCCTCTTCTATTTGCGGGATATTTTTGTAACATATCCCAAGTGAAACCTTTACTTTTTTCCTCAAGGCTGTGAAGGCTTACTCAGCCCTGTAACAACTTCAGACAGTATTACCAAGGCTGGCTCCTCCTCAGGAAAATTAATGAATAGAAAAAGAAATAATTCACAATGATAAACACTTTATTATTTAGTAATGCAAAGATAAAACACTGAAAAATGACTGTGTATTCTACTTGAAAGAAAAATGAAAAATGAAGTGAAAAAATGACATTTGAATTCAACGCTAATATGTACAGTTATACTGGGGTGTCTGGTTGAGGTTGACACCGTCTTGTAGAAATTGTAGCCGTTGCTGATGATGTTAGGGGGGGGGTCACAGGTGTTGGTGACAACCCAACGACTAGTTCTTCACAGAGTCTAGAGCCTTGAATAGTCAGTCCAGATGACAGGAAAGCAGGTTCTTTACCACTGCGAAGATGAAGGGTTGTTGTCTGCTGTCGCCTACAATTAATCAGGTAGGTAGATCAAAAAGTGACGTCTCGGGACTTCTGTCTGCCTCCTTCAACACGTTTCTTTGGTTGGCAGATGACCCGAGCTGTCATTCCAAGGTGGAAAGAGACAAAGGTTACTCATTGCTTAAGAAATCACTCTCCATGATAAGTGCAAGATACTTAAAAAAGTCTCATGGGGAGCTTAAAACTGAAAGGACCAAGTTTATTATTGGTCAAAAGTGAAGCTTTCAACCAATATCCACTAGAATAGGAGCAGAGGCTTTTACTTACAGTTGTGCTGGGAGCTGTGAGTCTAGTGATTACTGTTTGGCCGGAGCCCCACACGTCACCTTTCGGGGTGGGGAGAAAGGGGGGGAGGGGACAGCGGGAGCTAGACTGACCCTACCTTAACAAGCAGCGGCAATCAAACTATCGCTACCATATACTCGCTCTCTACTCTATCTGTTGAACTTTTCCCTCACAGGCTACAAGATATGCAAACTAGAATTAGTGTAATCTGAGAGGTTTGGAGCTTTGAGATAATATGCTAACACGCATTTCTTCCTGTGTTTGTGTTAGAGGAAGCAAGCAAGAGGTGCGAGGAAGACGGCCAGTGGTTTCGCCGGGAAGGAAGACACGAGTGGAGCAACTACTCTTCTTGTAGCGTCGAGGAGAACATTCACCGTCGTCTACATGTGCATATTGCTGCTTACAGCATCTCCGTCGCTGCCTTATTCCCTGCCTTATGCATTTTCTTCTCTTACAAGTGAGTTCATGAAGATGATACCCAGGCCAAAAATTTGCTAAAATCCATAAATTTTCCCTTTTCACGTTTCCATTTATCAGTATTCGACACTTGTAAATGTATTCCCAATCCATTCACAGCTAATTAAGAAACTTGAATGAAAATTTAACGAAATTCGAGCCACTGTTTGGATTATTATGAAGTCACATTTTGATCCAAGGTGGACCACAACTTCGCTCAGCTATTATTTTCAGCTTGTGGACTAGTTGTGAATTGTTACAGCTGCAGTTGTGACTTTAATTCGCCTCTGGAAATTTAGGCTGGGCAAATACTTTTCATGGCATGAGTAATCTCAATATTTAGATGGTAAGTTCTTAAGAAATATGTGACATATACAGATATTTAGAATGCAGTAACCGGTCTATGCATCCTAGGGAGTTGAGTTTGAACATTTTCCTACAAAATGTTCCAAGCACATTTCCTATTGGCCTTCCCTGTATTTTGGATCATGTTCATAAAAGTGCGCATTATACACATATTCATGACGAGCAGGACTTTAAGTGCAGATCTCCCAAAGTTGAATATTGCATGCTCGTAGCAGTTTCCTTGTTTTCGGATACATAAAACTCTCAAGAGGGGATTGAAGGATGCAAGTAATTGCCTGTTCCTAATTACCTATTTGCAGTTACAAGAGCAGAGATATGTTCATGATATCCCATCTTCATTAATATGTTTATCATTAAAATTTGAAGGCTTTCAACTGCTGTAGCACTTACTGTTTCTCTATCACAAACAATTTGTATCACAAGTATTTGTGACACTTATTAATTTACCCAATTATACAAACGCTGCCTCATAACTTTCGACAGAATAGGTATATTTCTACACAGCCTAAGAGGGTCAGCATGAGGCCCACAGTGACCGCTACTCACTTTTTACAGATGAATCTTACACCAACGTAGCCGTTACAAGCTATAGCTGAAGTCCTTTCAATGCCGTTATCAATGATTCACGAAATCGTTATGACATGATTGTAAAAAACTCACGGTACAGAATATAACATTCCACTGATAGTTTTAAAACTGGATCGCCATAGGTTCTCATTCCAACCGTTTTGCGAGTTGTTTACAGCCGTATCGTTACAGTTTAGCGAGTCATTGATGAAGGCTTTCGCAAATATTCTTCCTTTTCACTCCTTTTTTAGTGTGCTAAAGATTGCCTCAGTTGCAGGTGGAAAATTAGCATTTTACCGTCTTCATAATTTTCTCCAAGTGGAATCGCTTTTACCATATAGTAATGCTTCCTTCAGCGTCATAACCGAGTCTCAATAACTGGGTGAATGTTCAAAGAGGTTACAGATGCCAATTAGTGCTTCCCAGTCTAAAAATATTTCGTACATGCAAGAAAGCTATTTGACAAGAATTTTTCAGAAATTCCTCTTCAAGTTAACGCATCAAATTGTATTTCGTGTGAATTTTTGGTTCTATTAATGAGCGAAGTGAAGTGTGGGAACATTGCAGCGATGTGTTTTGGATTTTAATAGGCTGTGACAAAAACATACACTCACCATTCAGGTATAATGTTCATAATGATTTATTAAATACATGTTTAGTAGAGAAATGTGTTATTATTTTTTTAATTTCACTGTGTTATCTTAGTGGTTCTTCATTATCTGCAAACACATACATGGGAATGCTTGAATTCACTCTCTTAGCTATGCTAACAACACAACACTGCTTGCTTCTTGTGTTATTGTTTTACGAAAGTACCCTGATATGTACCAGCTAACTCCTTGAACTGTCTTATTTAAAACATTACACCGAGAATATGGTACAGTTTTCACCTAATCTTACTGCTGGTACTGCTTGCTACTCATGGCAATACTTCATAACAGCACTAACAACGTAGTACAACTCGCTACCTGTGGTACTACTTTACTGCAGTATACTGACAACTTGATTCTGCTTGCACATTCTGCTGCTGTTTACGACAGTACACTCACAACTTTCCTTACATGAATATTAATCCTGGTTTTGTCTCTGTAGATGCATTCCTTCCTCATTACACTATCAAATGTTCCAGTCTTCAGAACACTTGTGATGCGACCTGATCTTTATTTCCTCTCCTTACCTCTTCTCTTTTCCTATATTTTCGTTGCCTTTCCTTTCTTTTTGACTCACGAAATCGTAATGACACGATTGTAAACAAACTGTACCACGGGTGGGATTAGAACCCGCGGGTTCTAATCCCACCCGTGAAATGGTTTCCTTTCTTCTGCTTAAGTTTGTTCTGTCGTTTGTTCCTCTACTTCCCTGTGTCTTCGGTCCCACCCTCCTGGGCCGTAAGTACTCTCGCGGGGTTTTTTTTTTTTTTGCTTGTTCTTAGACTTCCTCCACTTCTACTACTACTACTACTTACTACTACTACTCACTGCAACTACTACCACTACTACATTTTCACTACTATCTCCACGTCCTTCTTTTTATTTTTTTAAGTGTTTTTGTCCAGTCTCTGCCCATCTCTCGTATATATACTGGCCCCCTTACCTTCTTGTGTTCGTGTATGACTAGTTAATGGTCCAAGTCGGACAGAAACTTCGTCATAAATTTCTTTCTCTTATGTGCGTGCTACCTATGTAGTACAAAATTAATGACGTTTCGATCCGACTTGGGCCACTGACCATGTGCGGGTTATTAGTGTATTGTTCCAGTCACGGTATTGTGCCTTTTTTGTTCCTTATTTCTGTAGTGCAACATGGCAATTCATGCACCCTCAGACGCTACTTTGCAACAGCACACTGAACACGTAGAAGGATATAAAACCCAGTATACAGAAAGTAAATGGTAATTGTCTTGAAGAATCATAAATATAATACCAGAATTCTTCAAAATACTGTGAAATAAATGGCTGTCAAATTCCTTACCAGTCTAGATCGCATCATCAGCAGTAAATTAAAAAGAAATTATACTAATTAAATTACTCATAAAACTATGCAATAGGCAGTTTCTTATTTAAAATATCATTATCAAAAATAAAGATATTCTAATAAAGTGTTCTGGTATATATTTTCTTTTTGTCATGCAATATACAATGGATAAATTATCGTTTATTGTCCTCATACAATATTGACTAAATTTCACGAAAGATACATCCACAGTATAGCAGAGTGCAAGGATAGCTTCTATTAATTATCCTCAGCTAACAACTTTGTGGACGGAGGTTCGAGCCTCCACTCTTTGCTGTGAATAACCTACATGAGTTTAAAATTTCGCAACAATGTAATAATAATATTATGTTGTGGCAGACAGCTTCGTGTTCACCGCATTACTCTACACAAACACCTTTTCTTAAGTCTTCTCCTCGAGGCTCTCGGCGTCATCATCTTCAGGTTACTACAGCTGTATAAGAACGACCTCATCCAGCAGGTGTGTAATGAATTACCCACGGAGCTTGTAATGCAATTTCTAACAGGTGTATAACACATTATCCCACAGATGTATAACTCATTATTTAACATGTATATAATGAATTTTTCAACAGGTGTGTCATACATACATGTTCACCATCTGTTACAACTGCGTCTTGCAGACCACCTGACCCCAGTTTTATGACGTTCATACGTCGGAGAAAAAGAAACATCATTTGAAATTTTTACGATTGTGAGCAGTAAGTCAGAGATTAGATCAGGTGAAGAAAAGAACAGAAAAGAGTTCAGGACGTGAGTGGAAGCATTAAGATTATTGGGAAAGCATATTACACCTCAGGGGAATTAAATAGCCAATACCTTCGGCAACACAAGTGCCTAACGTTTCTCAAAAAGAAAAAGGCATGCGAAAAGAAAGTTAAAAGTCAGACGGGTGAAGAGAATTTCTCAAGATGGGTCGTTAGACGAGAAGGATTTTGTCAGGGCGAGTAACAGGTTATCTGAAAATTAGGGCATTTTGTAATATATTGAGAAAATCTGGCATCAACAGAAACATAACTAGGATTGAATTGCATGTTAGGAATGTACTATATAAAAATCAGTTCAACATAACAATGTCTGTGAAGCCTAACAAGCTAGGCAGTTTGGGCAGAAGAACAGTTTATTGGACAACTATGATCTCTAAAACAACAGCAAGGAAGTTGTTAGTGAGAGCGACGCAAACACCTCCCCTGCCTTCTTAAAGCTAGTGAGAAAGGCAGCGGGCGGTATCACCACTATACTGGAGTGAACAAGAACATAAAGTGGAGAAGATACCTGAATCAGTTTGCCATGAAGTGAATTTGTTAAATGAACGTAAAGTTTAATATCATGAGAATTTATAATGTTTCTTAAGTTCTAACAATTAGAGATACAAATGGCAGAGTACAGGAGCAGTAAGAGAGGCTGTCTTCACATGACCTGTTATCTGGTGTTTCTTCCTGTTATGTTGTTCAGTTATTACTTGACAGTGGTGAGGAATTAGATACATTGTGCAACATCTGGGTATCTTTATTTGTAGACGTTTCGCCATCCATTGGCTGTATTGATAAATCCGCTGGATGTCGAAACGTTTACAAATGAAGATGATGATTGAGACACTTATGAAACATATGGGAATCTTTATTAAGGAAACGTTTCGCGACACAGTGGCTTCTTCAGTCTGATACAAAGTAGGTCTTCGTCCAACCTTTGGACGAAGACCTACCTAGATTTGTGGATGGTTCCACTATGATCCCACCTCCTCCTGCTTCGACTCACCTGACTACAATATATAAACCACTTCTCCGGTCATATGCTGCACTTTCTACAAGATTGATGGACTGAACACATCGATTCCAGGCTGAGAGACTGATTACCTCAAACTCCTCCTCTCCTTACCCATTTCTACTTTGTATTGGACTGATGAAGCCACTGTGTGGCGAAATGTTTCCTTAATGAAGATTCCCATATGTTGTATAAGTGTCTCAATCTTCAACTTGTCGGTTTTCAAAACCATTTATCACAAATAAAGATACCCAGATGTTGCACATGTGTCTAATTTGCTTCATCTTGTCACTACAGTACACCATTCATGTACAACTTGACAGTGGTCAAGGAGAGACCACAACATCAACCAAGATTTCCTCTGTAAAGTAAAGGGATACAAGTGCAACTAATGTGACATTTTATTGTGGCAACGTTTCGCTCTCCAGGAGCTTTATGAAGTCGTTACAAACAGGACATGGACACAGAGGGTATATATAGGCTTAGAGTGAGGTGCAATATTATCGAGAGTAGTAGTAGTAGTAATATAAGTTGTAGTAGTAGAAGTAATATATATATATATATTATAATATATATATTATATATATATATATATATTTATATATATATATATATATTTTATATATATGCAATAAGATCACAGTAAACAGGTGATTTCAGAATATGCAAAACAACCACTCTGAAAGAATAGAGAAATTCCAAGCGCTTTCGTGACTACTCACATTATCAAGGAACTATGAGAGTAAAGCATCCAAGGAAGCTATATAAGGGGTCTGGCCAGCACCTCACTATCAGATCCCACAACGGTTAAACACCTGACGCGCGCCGACCCAACTTGGATAGGTCTTTTGCACAACTCACCCCACAAACTATTCTACCCAAGAAAATTAAAAAATTATTTGTCCAGTGTATTATTAAATTCTTCCCAAATTCTATTAATTATAAATGGATCTAATTTATATAAACCAAAGGAAATATTCATATTATTGTCAAAACTGCTTTTTATGAAACAAGATTCAATTATATTCCTGTCGACCATGGACTTGCTTAATACTACTTTCTCAACTTTTTGAAAATCAATTGGATGGTTAAAATCTCTTACATGAATAAATAGAGCATTGGAATCTTGTCCAGTTCTAATGCTATATTTATGTTGTTTTAATCTTAGTTCGAGATTTTTACCAGTTTGACCGTAATAAACTTTATCGCAAATTTTACAAGGAATCTTATAGACACATCCATCAGCATTTTGGGGGGAATTCTTTATCAAAAGTTTTTTTTTACTGTATCAAGATTTTTGAATACAACTTTAATATTAAAAGTCTTAAGAAGAGAAGGCATATCAACCAAGTTTTCATGGTAAGGGAGGAACCAACATATTTTAGTTGAATAAGGCTGGTTGTCCCTTTTTGGACTGTAAAAAGTATTTCTAGCAACTTTAAAAGATTTATCAATTACATTTCTTGGGTATTTTAAATCATTACCTATTTCATAAATTTTGGATATTTCCTCATCTATGAACTCAGGACTACAAATTCGTAAAGCTCTCAAAAACATTGATGAGAAAACAGACAGTTTGACTCTATCTTGATGCGAGGAATAATAGTGGACATAGGAACAGTTATTTGTAGGTTTTCTGTAAATTTTAAATTTGAATTCATTATTACCCTTAATAATTAAAACATCTAGAAAAGGCAATGAGTTATTTTCTTCAAACTCAACGGTAAAGTTTATAGAATGGGCTAAGCTATTTAATTTTCCTAGGAAATGGTGTATATCTACATTTTTGGGCATAAGACACAAAATATCATCAACATATCTGAACTCATTGCCTTTTCTAGATGTTTTAATTATTAAGGGTAATAATGAATTCAAATTTAAAATTTACAGAAAACCTACAAATAACTGTTCCTATGTCCACTATTATTCCTCGCATCAAGATAGAGTCAAACTGTCTGTTTTCTCATCAATATTTTTGAGAGCTTTACGAATTTGTAGTCCTGAGTTCATAGATGAGGAAATATCCAAAATTTATGAAATAGGTAATGATTTAAAATACCCAAGAAATGTAATTGATAAATCTTTTAAAGTTGCTAGAAATACTTTTTACAATCCAAAAAGGGACAACCAGCCTTATTCAACTAAAAATATGTTGGTTCTCCCTTACCATGAAAACTTGGTTGATATGCCTTCTCTTCTTAAGACTTTTAATATTAAAAATGTATTCAAAAATCGTGATACAGTAAAAAAACTTTTGATAAAGAATTCCCCCCAAAATGCTGATGGATGTGTCTATAAGATTCCTTGTAAAATTTGTGATAAAGTTTATTACGGTCAAACTGGTAAAAATCTCGAACTAAGATTAAAACAACATAAATATAGCATTAGAACTGGACAAGATTCCAATGCTCTATTTATTCATGTAAGAGATTTTAACCATCCAATTGATTTTCAAAAAGTTGAGAAAGTAGTATCAAGCAAGTCCATGGTCGACAGGAATATAATTGAATCTTGTTTCATAAAAAGCAGTTTTGACAATAATATGAATATTTCCTTTGGTTTATATAAATTAGATCCATTTATAATTAATAGAATTTGGGAAGAATTTAATAATACACTGGACAAATAATTTTTTAATTTTCTTGGGTAGAATAGTTTGTGGGGTGAGTTGTGCAAAGGACCTATCCAAGTTGGGTCGGCGCGCGTCACGTGTTTAACCGTTGTGGGATCTGATAGTGAGGTGCTGGCCAGACCCCTTATATAGCTTCCTTGGATGCTTTACTCTCATAGTTCCTTGATAATGTGAGTAGTCACGAAAGCGCTTGGAATTTCTCTATTCTTTCAGAGTGGTTGTTTTGCATATATATATATATATATATATATATATATATATATATATATATATATATATATATATATATATATATATATATATATATATATAATATATATATATATATACATGTATATATCACTGCTGTAAAAAAACGTCGAAGTTATTTTTTTGCTGCAATTCATAATTAATCTGAGCGTTTGTTTTTATATCCTAGTATCTGTTTTTGACCTTACCTTGTGCACTGAAGCTGACACACCATTTTTTTTCCACAAACTGAACGACGGCTGCAATGACATTTATTTAATATTAATAAGTCACAGAGTATATAATGCATTTCCTCTTTGGTGTGTATCATCAACGCCAACGAACTTCGATTTACCAGCTGGTGACAGCATTTCATCACGCCGTTTCTAGCCTCTGTTTTGCAAAACAAATGTTCTAACATTTGTTTCAGTGGCAATCTGTGCTCAGTACAAGTATTTATTTAGAATCTGCTTTATCAAAGCCAGTACAATATTGTTCCTTTTTTTTATCAGCATTTTAATAAACCGGATATGTATTTTATGTCGAGTTATTGCTAAGTTAAATAGTTTTTGAGAAGATTTAGCTTAATGCAACTGTCACTTTTTGTGTATCTGTGTCTTTGTATGTCTGTTATACCTGTGTCTTTGTATGTATGTTGTACCTGTGTCTTTGTATGTCTGCTGTACCTGTGTCTTTGTATGTCTGTTGTACCTGTGTCTTTGTATGTCTGTTGTACCTGTGTCTTTGTATGTCTGTTGTACCTGTGTCTTTGTATGTCTGTTGTACCTGTGTCTTTGTATGTCTGTTGTACCTGTGTCTTTGTATGTCTGTTGTACCTGTGCCTTTGTGTGTCTGCTGTACCTGTGTCTTTGTATGTCTGTTGTACCTGTGTCTTTGTATGTCTGTTGTACCTGTGTCTTTGTATGTCTGTTGTACCTGTGTCTTTGTATGTCTGTTGTACCTGTGCCTTTGTGTGTCTGCTGTACCTGTGTCTTTGTATGTCTGTTGTATCTGTGTCTTTGTATGTATGATGTACCTGTGTCTTTGTATGTCTGTTGTACCTGTGTCTTTGTATGTCTGTTATACCTGTGTCTTTGTATGTCTGTTGTACCTGTGTCTTTGTATGTCTGTTGTACCTGTGCCTTTGTGTGTCTGCTGTACCTGTGTCTTTGTATGTCTGTTGTACCTGTGTCTTTGTATGTCTGTTGTACGTGTGCCTTTGTATGTCTGCTGTACCTGTGTCTTTGTATGTCTGTTGTACCTGTGCCTTTGTATGTCTGTTGTACCTGTGCCTTTGTATGTCTGTTGTACCTGTGCCTTTGTATGTCTGTTGTACCTGTGCCTTTGTATGTCTGCTGTACCTGTGCCTTTGTATGTCTGTTGTACCTGTGCCTTTGTATGTCTGTTGTACCTGTGCCTTTGTATGTCTGTTGTACCTGTGCCTTTGTATGTCTGCTGTACCTGTGCCTTTGTATGTCTGTTGTACCTGTGTCTTTGTATGTCTGTTATACCTGTGTCTTTGTATGTCTGTTGTACCTGTGTCTTTGTATGTCTGTTGTACCTGTGCCTTTGTGTGTCTGCTGTACCTGTGTCTTTGTATGTCTGTTGTACCTGTGTCTTTGTATGTCTGTTGTACCTGTGCCTTTGTATGTCTGTTGTACCTGTGCCTTTGTATGTCTGTTGTACCTGTGCCTTTGTATGTCTGTTGTACCTGTGCCTTTGTATGTCTGCTGTACCTGTGCCTTTGTATGTCTGTTGTACCTGTGCCTTTGTATGTCTGTTGTACCTGTGCCTTTGTATGTCTGTTGTACCTGTCTCTTTGCTGCACTTGTGTCTTTGGTGTGCATGTGCATCTCCTGTACTTGTGTACCTGGTGTACCTATGTATCTACTGTACCTGGTGTACCTGTGTATCTGCTGTACCTGCATTTTTGTGTCTCCTGTACCTGTGTCTCTGTGTTCCTGCTGTATCTGTGTCTCTGGTGTAACTCTTTTTTCTGTGTCTCTGATGTACCTGTGTTTCTGTGTCTCTGGTGTACCTGTGTCTCTCTAATACACTCTGGTGTACCTGTGTCTCTGATACACTCTGGTGTACCTGTGTCTCTCTGATGCACTCTGGTGTACCTGTGTCTCTGACACTCTCTGGTGTACCTGTGTTTGTTGTACCTGTGTATCAAAATGTCTTTTGAATGTTTCCCAAATTCTTACTGCTGCCTGCCTGGCTTCTGTCTAAGTTTATCATATGCCTCTTTCGCCTAATTTACACCTGCCTTCCACCTATCTTTCGCCTGGTTTACACCTTCCTTCCACCTATCTTACATCTGATTTACACTTGTCTTACACTTGTGTCTCCTGGGTACAGAACCCAGCCTGGTGCGTGACGCTCAACTTGCTAACTAAGTACACAAGTGTGACCAACTACATGTGGTACCTGTGTGAAGGTTTCTACCTGCATAAGCTCCTCGTCTCCGCCTTCGCCGAGCAGAACAACCTGACTATCTTCTACCTTATAGGCTGGGGTAAGTCTGCTACCGGCTGTTGCTCTATGGTATGTGTATTGATTTCTTTTAGTCTACGATAAGTGTATTGTCTTCTGTTGATTTCTGTTGGTTTGTTTTAAGCGAATTGACTTCTTTTGGTCTACGTTAAGTTTACTGCTTTCTGTTGGTGTACTGTAAGTGTATGGTCTCCTGTTGGGCTACGGTAAGTGCATTTATTTCTGTTGGTTTACGATAAGTGCATTGCCTCCAGTTGGCCTTCTGTTGGTGCTTTAGGGGCAGGCTAAGTCTATTAGTCAATATAGTTTCGGAGAGAGTGAGTATGATAATACTCTCCTTATATACCGGTACACCGGTATGGCAGTGGAAGGCCTCGGTCAGATGACTATAATCTCTAGCTGCGGGTCATCATATGACAATGACCCGCGTCACGAAACACTTGTCCTGTTTTCTGACAAACCTTACCTAAGCTTTAGCGGTACCTCACCATACGGAAAGCGTGAACCAGCCAGAAACGAGAGGGTTTAGCGTTCTGAGGCGATCCTAAACGCACCATTTCCTCAATCGACCGCTGTGTGTTCTTGCCTGTGATAGTCGAGTGTGTGTTTCCTGTCCTGTTATAGTCTAATGTGTATTCTGTCCTATGATAGTCTACTGTGTGTGTTGTCCTATGATAGTCTAGTGTGTGTTCTGTCCTATGATAATCTAGTCTGTGTTCTGTCCTATGATAGCCTAGTATGTGTGTTCTGGTCTATGATAGTCTAGTATGTGTGTTCTGGCCTATGATAGCCTAGTATGTATGTGGAAATATAAACACAAATGCAGTATAATGTGATCCTTTATTGACTACGTTTCGCCCACACAGTGGGCTTTTTCAAGTCACAAACAGTTCTGTTTGTGACTTGAAAAAGCCCACTGTGTGGGCGAAACGTAGTCAATAAAGGATCACATTATACTGCATTTGTGTTTATATTTCCATTGTGTCGGTATTTTATACCATTTATTTCCTAGTATGTATGCTCTGATCTATGATAGTCTAGTATGTGTGTTCTGGCCTATGATAGTCTAGTATGTGTGTTCTGGCCTATGATAGTCTAGTATGTGTGTTCTGGCCTATGATAGCCTAGTATGTGTGCTCTGGCCTATGATAGTCTAGTATGTGTGTTCTGGCCTATGATAGCCTAGTATGTGTGTTCTGTCCTATGATAGTCTAGTATGTGTGTTCTGGCCTATGATAGTCTAGTATGTGTGTTCTGGCCTATGATAGTCTAGTATGTGTGTTCTGTCCTATGATAGCCTAGTATGTGTGTTCTGGCCAATGATAGCCTAGTATGTGTGTTCTGGCCTATGATAGCCTAGTATGTGTGTTCTGACCTATGATAGCCTAGTATGTGTGTTCTGGCCTATGATACTCTAGTATGTGTGTTCTGGCCTATTATAGCCTAGTATATGTGTTCTGTCCTATGATAGCCTAGTATGTGTGTTCTGGCCTATGATAGTCTAGTATGTGTGTTCTGGCCTATGATAGCCTAGTATGTGTGTTCTGGCCTATGATAGTCTAGTATGTGTGTTCTGGCCATTTATAGCCTAGTATATGTGTTCTGTCCTATGATAGCCTAGTATGTGTGTTCTGGCCTATGACAGTCTAGTATGTGTGTTCTGGCCTATGACAGTCTAGTATGTGTGTTCTGGCCTATGACAGTCTAGTATGTGTGTTCTGGCCTATGATAGTCTAGTATGTGTGTTCTGGCCAATGATAGCCTAGGTTATTCAGTGCGAAAAGTGGTCGGAGCTCAATACTCCGTCTGTCAGCCAGTATTGTGAAAAATGTTAAAAACAATTGCTACTATTATACGACTCAACAGATGCAATGTTGATGGTAATGGCAAAAGTTAAGTTAAACATGGGTACGAGTCAAATTTAAGTGGCCGTAGACTACTGGATGATGTCTTTTGTGGACTAAGATTAAACAAGTATTACCTCTTATACTTCAACTTGGATGGAAATTACAATCATCTGAAATAAAGAGGATAAAGACATGACCATACTAAGAGACAGGGCAGAATATTTCTTTCATATTTAGGAAAATGGAAAATCTATATGTCAAGGAAAATCACTTCATTGTTACCAATAATTTACCTGAAAATCTCAATCGTGACTAAATTAACTTGTTAGATAAGATTAGTGTTTTATGAAGACTATGTAACACATGAGCCGATTAACTAATTCACAAAACAAAATGAAGTTATAAATCAATGGATGTAAAAATAATTTAAAGTGAAAATAAAAAATTCTGATATTACAACTTCATTACATCTTATAACTGATTACCTTATATAGCAATGTAAATTAAAAAAATTTATTTGATTACAAATCAATCTATTTTCCCCCTAAAAAAAAAAATGTGACTTTACTTCTGGTTGATACAAGATGAAATTCTGCTAAGATGATCTATGGTGAATAATAAACCACTGCCAAGTTGATCTGTGTTGAACAATACGCTACTGCTAACAAGATGATCTGAGGGTGAACAAATTAGCTTATCAGTCAGTAAACAGAAAAAAAAAGTTTTAAACTTAAATCAGAGAAACGAAAAAACTAGACACGATATAATAACAACGTACAAAATGCTGAGAGGAAGGAGAGATGGTTCAGGGGTCGAGAACCAAGACACTGATGGTGCAGCTGGACGTTCACAACACATCTGAATCACAGGATGGTCAGGAATTGGAACGACCTCATAATAGATTGGAAGAGGAAGGATACATGCAAAGCTTAAAGAAAAGGTACGACAAGGCTCTCAAGCCAGAAGAGAGTAAACCAGGTAGCAGCCAGCGAAGAGTCTCTGCCAGGAGCTGAGACTCGACCACTGCAACCACATACAGGCGAGCACATACAAGTGAGTGCACACTGCTTACATGCATTCATAACCGCTTTACACTGTTCTGTTTGATGTTCTAAACGGTCACACTGTAGCGAAATTAATGCCCCAGATTTATATACCGATTTTCGTGGAATTAATATTTATGTAAATATTTTGTATTGTTCTTATATAAAAAAACGTTATATCTGAATTCAAAAATTACTGTAATTTTAGTTTCTAACTTGCTATAGGAAATAAAAATGATACAGTTCAACAGATAAACTTTGTATATTACTCTGTAAAGTGTTTATATTTCAGTTTATATACACCGAGATTTGTATATCTGGCATTGTATATACACTGAAAAGGTGAATACCTCAGTGTATATAAATCAAAAGGTATTTATCTGAGAGAGTTTGACGTAACATGACTCGAAAGCAGTCATCCACCACGGCAGCAAACACGTTGTGTTACCTTGAGGGGTCGTACAGCACCTTGGTTAATAGCAGGAGTCGTACAGCATCTTGGGTAAGAGCAAGGGTCGTACAGCACCTTGGTTAAGAGCAAGGGTCGTACAGCACCTTGGTTAAGAGCAAGGGTCGTACAGCACCATGGTTAAGAGCAAGGGTCGTACAGCACCTTGGTTAAGAGCAAGGGTCGTACAGCACATTGGTTAAGAGCAAGGGTCGTACAGCACCTTGGTTAATAGCAGGAGTCGTACAGCACCTTGGGTAAGAGCAGGGGTCGTACAGCACCTTGGTTAAGAGCAAGGGTCGTACAGCACCTTGGTTAAGAGCAAGGGTCGTACAGCACCTTGGTTAAGAGCAAGGGTCGTACAGCATCTTGGTTAATAGCAGGAGTCGTACAGCACCTTGGTTAAGAGCAAGGGTAGTACAGCACCTTGGTTAAGAGCAAGAGTCGTACAGCATCTTGGTTAAGAGCAAGGGTCGTGCAGCACCTTGGTTAAGAGCAAGGGTCGTACAGCATCTTGGTTAATAGCAGGAGTCGTACAGCACCTTGGTTAAGAGCAAGGGTCGTACAGCACCTAAGTTAAGAGCAAGGGTCGTACAGCACCTTGGTTAAGAGCAAGGGTCGTACAGCATCTTGGTTAATAGCAGGAGTCGTACAGCACCTTGGTTAAGAGCAAGGGTCGTACAGCACCTAAGTTAAGAGCAAGGGTCGTACAGCACCTTGGTTAAGAGCAAGGGTCGTAGAGCACCTTGGTTAAGAGCAAGGGTCGTACAGCACCTTGGTTAAGAGCAAGGGTCGTACAGCACCTTGGTTAAGAGCAAGGGTCGTACAGCACATTGGTTAAGAGCAAGGGTCGTACAGCACCTTGGTTAATAGCAGGAGTCGTACAGCACCTTGGGTAAGAGCAGGGGTCGTACAGCACCTTGGTTAAGAGCAAGGGTCGTACAGCACCTTGGTTAAGAGCAAGGGTCGTACAGCACCTTGGTTAAGAGCAAGGGTCGTACAGCACCTTGGTTAAGAGCAAGGGTCGTACAGCATCTTGGTTAATAGCAGGAGTCGTACAGCACATTGGTTAAGAGCAAGGGTAGTACAGCACCTTGGTTAAGAGCAAGAGTCGTACAGCATCTTGGTTAAGAGCAAGGGTCGTGCAGCACCTTGGTTAAGAGCAAGGGTCGTACAGCACCTAAGTTAAGAGCAAGGGTCGTACAGCACCTTGGTTAAGAGCAAGGGTCGTACAGCACCTTGGTTAAGAGCAAGGGTCGTACAGCACCTTCGTTAAGAGCAAGGGTCGTACAGCATCTTGGTTAAGAGCAAGGGTCGTACAGCACCTTGGTTAAGAGCAAGGGTCGTACAGCACCTTGGTTAAGAGCAAGGGTCGTACAGCACCTTAGTTAAGAGTAAGGGTCATACAGCACCTTGGTTAAGAGCAAGGGTCGTACAGCACCTTGGTTAAGAGCAAGGGTCGTACAGCACCTTGGTTAAGAGCAAGGGTCGTACAGCACCTTGGTTAAGAGCAAGGGTCGTACAGCACCTTAGTTAAGAGCAAGGGTCGTACAGCACCTTGGTTAAGAGCAAGGGTCGTACAGCACCTTGGTTAAGAGCAAGGGTCGTACAGCACCTTGGTTAAGAGCAAGGGTCGTACAGCACCTTGGTTAAGAGCAAGGGTCGTACAGCACCTTGGTTAAGAGCAAGGGTCGTACAGCACCTTGGTTAAGA